AAAGAAAGGATTCATGTTCTGTATCTCTCTCAGACCTTGCAGCACAGCACTGCTGGTTACAGGCACATCTGCCACCTGTGTAATGCTGCTGGAGTGCTATGCAGGTTGGTTACAGATTTGGCACATTTAAAGCTTTTAAAGAACCCCATTGCTTGAAAGAGAAAGAAAAAAAATCACTTTATCTACAAAACCTCAGTCTACTGCGAAAACAAGACCTAAACAAGATCCAGCTTTGTGTCTGCACATTGTTATGAACAACTGTGTCTGTGACATGAGAGGGCTTGGCAGTCACTGGTTCCCATTGAGGGCATTGGACTTACCAAAATCAGCTAAAATCAAGCAGAACAAGCTACTTGGGACACCCTATCACACAGTAATTTTGTAAGATTTAGGTTTTCACAGGTGATGTTATCAAAATGTTCCTCCTCTCCACTGACAAATGCAAGGTTTGTGAGACCATACAAGGGTCACTGTCCAGCTGCTGTTCCCCTTGACTGCTTCAGCACACAGACACTCCTAGTTCACAAACCAGCTTCTCTCTGACCATTGAGGAGGACCTGCCACACAGAGCCTGGTTTTGCTCCTTTCTGCCGCAGTTGGTGCCATCGGCTGGCAAGGCACACACCCTCCAGTCAGTGTGTGCAAGCTGTCAGGAACATCTTCAAGCTCCACAGGAAATCATGCCAGTGTCCTCCTTGGTCCTGCATAGCCATCTTCTGTTCTTCCAAGAGACCTGCTCCTCAGGGATGACAGTGACACATGGCCTTGGTGCAGATGGCAGAGCCGCTACCCTGACAAGCTGCCAGATACCTCGGTGTTTTGTTTGCTAATCTAACTTTTTATTTAATTTCCAACAGGGGAAAATGTCAGGCACTCTTGTTGCAGTCCTTTCTTTTGTTCTTATTTCTTGGCATACAATTCTACTGGAACTGTTTCAGGGTTAATGGACATTGGTCCAGGACACTTTGTAGATGTTGGTAGGAATGTTTTTGTTCTTTTTCTTTAACTCATGATTCTGGTAAAGCATGTGGAGATTCACCATGATATCATAATGATGCAAAGAATAACACTCTTGAATGTGAGAGTGCTCTTTCATTTAGCCAGATCTTTACTCCTAGTATTGATTTTCTACTAAACTATTTGATAAAGTATATTAAAGACTGACATGCCATGCTTAAACTAATAACAAAAAGCACCACAATTAATTAATAATTTTTTAAAATTAATAATTTAAAATTAGTAATTTTTTAACTCCTCCAGAATACTTGAGCAGAAAAGCTGGAATTATAAGATGTGCTATTTTTCTTATGCTGTGCACTGTGCAGAAGTTCTGAATGTGATGCTTTCGTTTAAGTCAACAATATTCCTTTTTAAGAAGGTGCATCCCAAATGTAGGTAAAACACTCTCAGAAGCCCTATAATACAAGATGCCTCTTCAAATTGATTCTGGTGTTTAGGGCAGCCTCTATCCTGGATCAAACAAGGAGCTCCTATCTGCCCCCTTCTCTGGAATCATGTAACATACTGCTATTGCATTTCCAACTCAATATGCATGTTAGTTAGGAGTAGCCCTTTCCCTCTCCCAGTCACACACAGATGCTATCTATTGTTTCATTTAGAAAAGTAAGTTTCACCAGACCAGTAAATGGCTGCTTGGTTTTTGTTTCACCAGGGCCATCCCTCATTCAGCGGCAAAGCAAACGTCACTCGGTCCGATTTCAGTGCAGTGACATTTCCTCACATTCCCTTAGTGACACCAGTATTTGACCAACTCAGCTCTCCCAGGGCTGAAATTTAACTTACATGGCTGTGCAATGTGCAGCCAATCTTTTCCTGCAGGCAGCAAAGTGTGCCCTCATGCTTCCACAACAGGATGTGTTATGGCTCCTCAGGCCTTCAGGTTCTGCTGCATGACTCGGTGGAAAGGCTATCACTGTCTCCAATTTAACCACTTCTTTCCAAGAAAATGCACACATGCCTCTTGATCACTGCCAGACCTATTCTTCCCCAGAATAAAGTTCAGAGTCTACTGATGCCCTTCTTGCCCCAGATTCCACTAACTTCTTATGCTATAGGATTAACGTGAGACACACAAGTCAGCTCATAGGGCCTTAAATTCTGTATCTCTCCCGTCTCTTACACTCTGCAGCAGTCTCTGCTCTCTAGCTTCTGGGTTAAACATTCCCAGCTGCTGCCATGGTCCCTCAGCTCACCACTGTGCATGAGAAGACATGGAGTCCTCAAATCCTTAATTCAGCTCTGCTTCATTATTACACCAGGCTGGAATCATTTGGCTGCGGAGAGCTGCAGCTCAAGAAACAGAATTTGCATCAAGCACTCATGAAATGCTTCCCTCTGCCTCAAGAGCTGATGAATCCAGCAGACAGGCCAATTTGGCACAGAGATGGTAGTAGATCAGTAAGACAGGCCCACAAAGATGACAAAATGAAAAGATGTGAGATATGGGTGGGGGATACACAAAACACTGGTTGTGGGGCTGAGGGGGGAGAGAGAGGAGGGACAAGGCTGGTTGTTGGAAAGGAGGTGAGAAAGAAAGGGAAAGGAAACAAAGGAATGAATGAGAAAGAAAAGGGCACAGTCAGAAATAAAAGATAGGAGAAAAGAAAGTAACTATAGAGACTTTTAATTTTATTTTTTTTAATCAGGAGAAAAGAGGAAAGCTCCCAAAGGAATGAGTCTACAGTAAATATTTCTCATTAGAAACAGCATCCAGTCAAGCAGACTGAAAGAACATGAGAAGACAGACCCAAATGTGCACAGAATACATGACTCAGGTGTTAGGACATAATTGTAGTAGTAGGAAAGAGACAATCACTTGACTGAAAAAGAGTGTGAACCAGAGGATAGAGGTATTACATCTACTCAAATGGTGGCCCCTTTTCCTCTCTTTATGTATATCTACTCCATATCTAGCTGTTGCTCCCTACTGTCAAAGGATGCAGTCATCACATCATTCATGACCATTTTGTGGGTAAATATGGCACACAAGACAGAAACAAATGAACACAGTTTCTCTCGGCTCTCAGAATAAACACAGAGAATATCTGCCTACCAAAACCAGCAGAGAGAACATTAATAAATCATTGTAACACTCCACACACACACAAAGAACTAATTTGTGTATACAGAACTAGCATTTCATGCTGTTAACTTTACAGTGTAAATATGGTTGACAAAAAGACTTTGCTAAGTCTTGATGTGCCTAGACTTACAGATTTGTAAAACTTGTATGAATTTAGTCCCTTCCAAACTGTCTTTCCTTCCTTTAGAAAGTACTATGAAAGTAGACCAGTGCTTTTAAAACTAGGAGCCTGGCTCTTCTGAGAAGACTCCAGTCTCCTCTGAACAATATGCAAAGCAAACTCAGGGAGGGAACATGAGAAAAAAGAGAAGTCTTCTTTCCTCCTTCTTTTTTTGCCCAAGACTCACCAAAACAAGAGTCTAGTATTGAATATTCAGCACTGAATGCTAACTGCTCAATAGACAGTCTGTTTGCAGAGCTCAAAGTGGAAATGACCCAGCAAGGAGGAGAGGTGAACAAGCTGCTCCATCCATGTGATTAAACTGCTCTGTAAATGCAATCCTCCTCACTTCTCCCCACCCCATTACAATGGAGCCCCATTTGCTGCCCCTACCACAACTCATTTTCAAAAAATGTTTGCATTAGAGGGGCCCCTACATCAGTATTGTCCCCATGACTCTACATTTAGGATAGGAATGTGAGTTCCAGCTCTGGAAAAATCTGTGCTAGCCAGGCAGTCCAACCAGCAGGCTGTGTTACTGCCACTGCCTGGGAGAAGGGAAGCATGGGCACATTTTACAGAGGAGCAGAGCACCCAGCTGGGAACAGTCCCTGCTTTCTGCCTGCATGAGGCATGGAGTAAATCTCACCTAGCAGCTGCCTTCTTCTGCCATGGACCATGGAAGTCTCTTAAGCACTCCTCTGAGGTAGGACACTTTGGTGTATACACAGTGAACACCCAAGAGGCCAAGCTGGGACAGAGGCTGGTGTGCAAACACAACACACCATTTAGCAAATGTGTTATTTGCATCCTGCCTCTCATAAGGCCAAATTTCCCTTGATAACAAACACATAGCTCATTCTACCCTTAACCCCAAGAGGCCCAAAAGAAACAGCCTCTTACTTACACAAGGCACACATTTCAGACCTGTCATGCTGAGAATTCCTGCTCTGGCTCTTGCATTACATTGCCCCCAGTGAGACCTCTGTCTCACATGCAGCACTGGGCACAGCTCCTTTCCTGCTGGCCCTGAGGTGCCAAGCTTGTTAGCCAGCAAATCTCTGCCCTGCTGCTTAGCCTGCTCTGGCAGAGAGAGACCTGGAGCTGAAGGGCTGTGCTGAGGGGTGGGTGATGCCCTTGCACCCAGGAACACCCACTGCAGGAGCGGGCATCTCTCATCACAGGACAGCACACATCTGCTTTGTCCTGACACAAAGTATTTGGGGACCAGGACTCCACTTTTACACTGCCTTGCACCGTATTTTTTACAGCATCTATCAGGCCACTGTCACCTTAAGGATCAGCCAGGAAATTTTGTTTCCCCATGTTGTTTAAGCTTTTTAAGGAGTAAAGGAGCAGGAAGTATTTTACTTTCCTCTGAGCATCAGAGATAGCAACACCAAGAAGTAGGGTACTAAAAGCTAATGGCATTAAGTACTCATTTGCTTAATTAGGTCATCCTACCACATGGTCATGGTTAAACTGATGAGGGTGGGAACCACAGAAGTCAGGTTGTTGAGGATTTTTTTCCCCTTTGAAGGGTAGGGCTTTGTCTGCTTCCTACAACCATGAATTTTAATCAACAAATGGTCTGTTTTTCAGACAGATCCTAGAATATTAGGAAAATATACAGCCTTCCCTGCTTAGCCTCTGACACAGATGTTGGCCTTTTCCAGCAGATTGCACCTTTGTCATAGGGTGCTGAAGTGTTCTCAGTTGTCAAAAGGATGTTCTGTGGGGTCTTTTGAATCAGGTGTGCATTGTTGTCACTATGGGGGAGCCAGCTCTGAAATACAGGTGATTCCCCGCAGCAGTGGATGACCACTCATGAATGAGACCCCTCTAAGGAATTGGGCTCTCCCTCCATTTTTCCTTCCCTGAGCTGTAGCTGAGGTACTTCAAGCACTACTGAAATAGTTTAGCATTAAGAGGGTTCTAGAAGGGAGGAAAAAAAAAAAAAAAAAAAAAGTGTGTTAGCCCTTCTAACATTGCATTTAGTGGTACCTCTACTTTTTGCTTTTTTCACTACTTTTTAATTTTATCATTGCATTTCTGGTATTTTATTGCTTTACATGTATAGCACAAGCTAGATCTGAACATACAGAACTATACAAGAATGGAAAGCTCCTGCCTTCTTTTTTTCTTTGTTGACTTGTAGATCTCATTTGCAAACTTACATTTGTGTATAAGACATTTTTCATATAATTAATTTTACCTGATTTAATATGAACATCTGTAAGTCTTGCCCCAAACCAGCTGAAGAAACAGGAGTCTGATAGTATAATTCTAAGAAGTGGAAGTTTAAAAAGAGAGGAAAGAGAAGGGGAATGACAAGTATTTCTACTTCTAGTAACAGTAGTCTTTAATTTATTTATTTTTTTAAAAAAGGCAGTAATTTCTAACATTTGAAACTTGCAGTCCTCCCAGGCAAATACCAGGGTTTGTTGGGTTTTTTCTCAGGTACAATCTCAGCAAGGAAATTAAAGCCCCTAGAGAAGAGGATTTTATGGTTTTAATCATCTCAGTCCCTGCCATGGGGTTCATGAGCACCCAAGCTCCGGCGTGAAGTCTGTCGGAGTGATGATCGCAGCATCAGACCGTGCCTACAGCCAGCCTAGAGAACAGATGAAATCCCAGAACTTGTCCCCAGCCTACCACTCTGAAATTAATGCTTCCAATTCCCAGGGCCGTAAGTTTCATGGGAATCAGTCATTCAGAGAATGTTCCAGCTATCTGAAATACATTGTTTGCTTTATTTGGTGTCTGTTTGATAATATTTGGTGTTCTGCACAAAAATTCTTGGCATAAGCTGCTAATTAATTGTGAACACATCGTTCATAGCTTGGTTCCCATAACAACTTCCATCTCAGAGAAATTAAGTTAAATTACCAATAAAAGAAAACAAAGTCCTTAACTGTAGCTGAAGTGAAGGAAACAAGACAGCACTGAGCCCCACATTTCACATTTCAGTCTTGAGGCAAATTTAGCTGCAAATGAGCTTTCTCTTACTGGGTGCATTGAGAACCAAAGCTCTATTTAACCCTCTCGACTTTTTCCTGATTTCAAATTTATCAGAAAAGGAAGAATGGCAGAAAGCATTTAATCCTATATGTGTTTATATGCAGAGAATGAAACCACAGCTCTTGCAGCAAGCAAGAAAGATTCTGACACCAACTTTACACACCATTTCTAACACTGGCTAGTATTTTATAGCTAATAAACTACTCTTTCAAATCTCCTGAGAGAAAATAAATGTAAACGAAGACAGGCCAGTACTGCTAGCTATGCGTGTAAAATAGCTACAATTAAGTTATTACACATTCCTAGCTGTGGGGAGCAATCATTACATGTTAACCCTGGGCATCTGCCCTCTCTCAGGCACACACATGGACTTCAACAGGTGTTTCCCTTGTGGAGCCTCTGCAGGATCAGAACTCATCTCTAACAGAAAATTGTATTAGTTTTAAAAGTCCCCAGAAGCTCCCTGGCACATATGTACTATTCTATAGGTTCTAAACGGTGTGTGCAAACATGCCAGTGGTCCAGATATCCTAAAAAAAACCCACAGGCCTCCACTGGCTTAATCATCACCACATACTCTTCCTTCCTACACTTGTTATCTATAGGATCGCTCAGCCATCAAATATCCTTTAGGCTATCCATCTTCCTAACCAGTATGTCAGCCATCAAATCCCCTCGGCTGCCGAGACGCTGGGCTCCAGCAGGGTTGGGTCGTACCGGGTACTCATTTTCACACACCAGAACAAACCAGCACACCAGAAAATCCAGCACAGATGCAGGGAAACAGACAAATGGGTGAACTCAGGAAATTCACAAACCTCAGCACTCACAGAATTGTGAGTTAATTATTTGGACTCCAGTGTCACATCAAGTATCCCCAAAGGACTGACCTTATATTTGTATTAGTTACATGACAGCCTACCACTGCTCTCAAGGCACCGTTTTGAACCATCAAACCCCAGCTGTATTTAGGGCCACATCTTCAAAAGTCTTCATCTGAAGAGGTACTAACATTTCCTCACGGCACAGATTTCAGTGATCCCACAGTTTGATCTTCAATTTGCTGTGCTAAAATCCTATGAATGGAAATAGTATTCCAGAGGATGAACCTCTTTATGACTGCCCTAACTTGCAAACTAGCTGCAAATTAAGCTAACAAAATGCAAAGGTGTTTATGTTCATAGACACTGCAAATTTTACAGCTACGCTAACCTTCTTCCTTGCCTGCACACTCACTGCACTGCCAGCTGAAAACCAACCTTATTTTCTAAAGGCAAGCAAGCCAACAACCCTGATGGAAGCAGGATACTCTTCTGACGACTTTCTGTGGGACAGCTGTAGCAGCATCACAAGTATCTTAGCACAAAATGATCACTTCTAATTTTGATAAGGTTTTTGGCTCAATATATGTCTACTATAGTAGAGGTGCACCTGAAACAGACCAGTTGAGGCTACAGGTTTCTTTACAGTCCACACCCAAAAGTTTTATCTGTCAGAATCCAGAGTCCCTTTTGTAATGAGGGTTACACTCAAATAAAATCTTGAGGACTGTGAACTGTAAATTGCAACTTAAATAAATTAAATAGTTCCCTACAGTTCTATGGCTATTCTTATGCAAAACCTTCTTTTAACTCTTTTTTCTTTCCATCCTCTTAAAGATCTTTAGTGCAGATAAATATTTCAGAGCAGTGAAAAATACCACAATTGCCTCTCCCTAAGGATTTTAAAATTAATTCATTAGCAGACAAATAAAAAAATCGTTCTTCTCTCTGAGTCAGGCTCAAAAGATGAACTTCTTCGGTCAAGGCAATTTCACCACATTTCAAAACCTCTAAGAAAACCCGACAGATTTTACAAAGTTATTAAAACCCCCTCAGGAATGAAGACCTGATCCAGTGACAGGACCTGGGTTTAGATCCTTGTTCGGCTGCTGCTGAGGGCAGAGGGAGCTGCCAGGAATCGAGCCCTGCCGCACAAACATTGCCCGCAAAAACGCTGCAGCTTGCAGGAAGGAAAATATTTTTTTACTGGTTTGTTGTTTTGGCTTTTTTTTCCTATTCTATTTCTTTCATTTGTAAAATCTTGTAAGATACAAAATCACATAGGACAAATATTCAGGTTTAACTATATAAAGGACCAGTGGTATTTCTTCTGCATCTCCATATCATATCAAATTTAGGATTCAAATGAATCATTGGATTATCCTAACTGCTCAGCAGGTTAGAGCCTTTATAAACACAAATTCTAAAACAATAAAAAACATGAGGGATTTTTTCTCCTTATTTGAATAAAAAAGTATGAAAAGTACTCCAGGAAAGTACAGGAAAAAAAGCCAATAGCAAGTTTCCTGTTTACTGTGTTGCAATAAGCAAAGCAAACAGTTTTCAGAAGCAAAATCAACCATTGGTTTGGATTAAACAAATCAGGACCTAGGATCACTCACTTTAGCATCTTATATACATTCTGAAATATCACAGCTCCATTCCCAACTAGCATTCAAGTATTTATTATCAATACTGATAATTTCATTAATTGAACCAGGATATGAAAGCCATTAATTCTCTTCAATCAATGCTTAATATGCTAGATCCTTCTTAAATGTCAAGCTCGTAGCAAAGGTCACCCACCACTGCCGCAACACCTGTCTATGTTGATAAGAAGATAGACTGAAATCTGGCCACTGCCACAAAGTTTTCAACCCAGGCGGTGGGAGCAGCTTTTCGTGGTTCAAACAAACTGCTTTAAGGGCCTAATCCCAACGTCCTTGACAGCACTGAAAGGCTTTCTGCTCATTTTAATGGGCTTTGGATCAGCTCCTAAGTCTCAGCTTCAAGTCCCAAGGATCTCATCCATCCAGCGCCTGAAAGCCAGCAGAGGTTTTGCCCAACACTGAAATGGCGAGGGATATTTAGTGAGTTGGGCAGGAAAGTTGCGCTCCAAGAACGCGCCTCTGTTTCCTCGGGCTCCCTGAGCGGCGCGGCGGGGCCTTCCCCGGGAGTGCGGCGGGGCAGGGAGCGTGGCAGCCCGCCGGGAAACCCAGGGCTCCCCGCGTCCCCGCTCTCCTGCCTGGGACGGCTCCTGCGGGGCAGCGCGGCGAGGGCTGTGTCCCTCCGGCAGCGCCCCGCACGCACCGTGCCGATGTCACTAGG